TCACACCAACTCCTTGTAGTTTGTTACCTTGATGCCCCAAATATTAAATCACTTCCTTTTTCACTTCTGTCACCCATTTAGCAGCTCAGTTTCTCACCTCGTAGGGTTCATTGCGGACCATCAAACATTTGTACAATTTACCTTCCTTTCTCTCCTATCAAATAAACAAGCTCTTTGAAGTTTCAGGTGAAGTTGTACTGTTAGTAACTCTCAAGGTTTTGCCTTGTCCTAGCCCTATCCCAGAAGTTTTCTATAGATGCACACTAGGTATGTATAAACTGTGCCTTATTTCTTCTACAGTTACTACAACTATCATTACCTGCGTGCTAAGTGTTCTTTACTTATTTTCATACCTCTTCAAATCTTTAGAGGAGATGGTGTCAGTCCACATTTCCAGTCAGTTTAAGGCCAACACCCCTAAAAAACTAGATTCTGTTTCTGCTTTTTCATATCCGAACTTAACCACCCAAGGGTCAGAATTGGTATTCAAACCATCTCTGCCCTCTGCTGCTGGAGCACCATTGCAGTTCATTCCTCCCCCAATCTTTAGCTCCAAAGTACTCAACAACCCAGTCCTTGGTTTAACCTAGTTTATTTCAGTTTCATCTCTGTGGAGCAGGCATCCTCAAACTTTTTACACAGGGGGCCAGTTCACGGTCCCTCAGACTGTTGGAGGGTCGCCACATACTGTGCTCCTCTCACTGACCACCAATGGAAGAGGTGCCCCTTCCTGAAGTGCGGCGGGGGGCCGGATAAATGGCCTCAGGGGGCTGCATGCGGCCTGCAGGCCGTAGTTTGGGGATGCCTGCTATGGAGCTCCTGAAGACCGGAATTGTTTTAACCTGAATTTTTCACATAAACCCCAAGATATTGTTCTATATATTAATATCTGAGAATCACTGTACTGATGAGAATGCTAGTTATTCTCACTGTGGGGAAAATGCATTATTCTGACTAATCCCATATTCTATGTAGCAGAATAAGCCAAGAAAAGATGGGATTTGGCTGTCTTCAGACACACTATCAATTACGGCTTCAGAGGTCCTGAAACCAACTGGTGAATCACACCAGTATGAGACTGAAGGCAAAGGATAGCCTTGTAGTAAAGAGACAGGCTTCTGAGAGAGACCAGTATATAGATCCTGGCTGATATACTTTACATCTAAGCTACCCTGTCTAAACTTTAGTTTCTTTAAAATTAGGAGAATAATATGGCCTCATAGAGTTGTTTTGAAGGTTCCTTGGAATTTATTCAATAAATATTTATTGTGCACCTACTATGTGCCAGGCACTTTTCTTTTTCTTTTTTTTTTTTTTTTGAGACGGAGTTTCACTCTTGTTACCCAGGCTCGAGCGCAATGGCACGATCTCGGCTCACCGCAACCTCCGCCTCCTGAGTTCAGGCAGTTCTCCCGCCTCAGCCTCCTGAGTAGCTGGGATTATAGGCACGCGCCACCATGCCCAGCTAATTTTTTTGTATTTTTAGTAGAGACGGGGTTTCACCATGTTGACCAGGATGGTCTCGATCTCTTGACCTCGTGATCCACCCGCCTTGGCCTCCCAAAGTGCTGGGATTACAGGCTTGAGCCACCGCAATATACCTATAAATAAAAGCTTCTATCCTCAAGGAGCATACATTCTAATGGGTATATGTATAAAAAGTGCTTAGCCTTTAGCATGTAGGAATCATGCTCAATAAATACTTGTTACTAACAAATATTTAAGGATAAGGAGTATATTTGTTTTGCTTTGCCGCTTTTTGGATATAAAAGAAGTATAGGACATAATATTTGCCTATGTGGAGCTTAAATCTAGATGGTCAGTGAGATATATATGTGTTCATTCTATAAATATTAACTCAGTGCTATAATGAGCCAGTTACTGTGAAGTACAAAAAGGAATCCCATTTTTTAAAATTTCAACTTAGTTGGGAATATATGAGAAATCACAATTATAACGTAAAATAAAGTGCAAGAGAAGTAATAATCAAGTGCTATGAAGACCACTTAAGGAAAGTAATAATAAAGTACGTACTATGAAGAATGTTAATTAGCAAGTGAATATCAGGAGAATACAAATACAGAAAAATAGTGTTATTGCCATTATATGCCAAGTACATGAGCATAAGATGGGCATACTTTTGGCAGGTGGAAATGGAGTATATGGCTAATTCAGTGAGTGGGTTAAAAAATGCTACTGCCAAGTAAACTAGCAGTATATGAATCTCAGCAGTGTTATCCTCTCTGCACACTAATTTTATGGTTTCTGTTTCTCATTGCAGCTCTGACTCTGGAACTTAAGTAATATTGACAATGATAACTGTTGGTTTTTTTGGTCAAAGAACAGGTTAGAGGGAAGAGGAGGAAAAGTGTGTCATAAGCCAGTGTGGTTGACTTCTGGGAACACTGTTTTTGGCCGAAGCATATCATAAGTATAGGGGAAGACATGACTAAAAATAAAAGAGTCTGAGCATAGAGGGCCTTGAATGCCATGCCAAGGCATTTGGACTTAATTTAGTAAGAATGGGGCATGACTGAATACTTTTGAGCAGGGAAGTACTGTGTTTATTTGGAGAGTTCTGGAAGCACTTAAAACAGAACTACCATGCCACCCAGCAATCCCATTACCGAGTTTATACCCAAAGGAGAATAAATCATTCTACCTAAAAGATACAGGCACTCAATATGTTCACAATAGCAAAGACATGGAATCAACCTAGGTACCCAACAGCAGTGGATTGTATAAAGAAAATGTGTACCTATACACCATGGAATACAATGCAGCTATTAAAAAAAAAGACCAAAATAATTTCCTTTGCAGCAACATTGATGCAGCTGGAGGCCATTATCCTAAGTAAATTAACTCAGAAACAGAAAGCCAGATACCACAGGTTCTCACTTACAAATGGGAGCCAAGCACTGGTTACACATGGTCATAAAGATGGGCACAATAGACCCTGGGAACCACTAGAGAGAGAAAAGGAGGGGATAAGATCTGAAAAATACCTATTGGATTCTATGCTCACTCTCTGGGTAATTAGATCATTTTTACCCCAAACCTCAACATCACACAATATACCCATGTAACAAACCTGTACATATATCCCTTTAATCTAAAATAAGAGTCGAAATTATTTTTTTAAAAACTTGGCCAGGTATGGTGGGTTATGCCTGTAATCCCAAGACTTTGGGAAGCTGAGATGGGAGGATCTCTTGAGCCCAGAAGTTCGAGACCAGCCTGGGCAACATAGTTGCAAGACCCTGTCTCTACAAAAAATTAAAAAATAAATTAGTTGGACATAGTGGTACATGTCTTTAGTCCCAGCTACTTGGGTACCTAACATGGTAGAATCACTTGAGCACAGGAGGTTGAGGCTGCAGTAAGCCATGATCACACCACTGCACTCCAGCCACTCCCAAAGTGCTGGGACAGGCGTGAGCCACTGCACCCATCCAGTAATGTATATTTCAAAATTACTAAAGTAGATTTTTAATATTCTTAACATCAAAAAAAAAAAAAAAAAGACAAACCGGTGAGGTGATGGGTATGCTAATTGACTTGATCAAATCTTTGCGTAATGTATACATAGATCAGTCTGGGCATGGTGGTCCACACTTGTAATCCTAACACTATGGAAGGCCAAGGTGGGCAGATCACTTGAGGCCAGGAGTTTGAGACCAGCCTGGCCAATATGACGAAAACCCCATCTCTGCCAAAGATACAAAAATTAGCCAGGCATGGTGGCACATTCCTAAAATCACAGCTACTTGGGAGGCTAAGGCACAAAAATCATTTGGACCCAGAAGCCGGAGGTTGCAATGTGTTGAGTTGAGATCGTGCCACTGCACTCCAGCCTGGACAATAGAGTGAGACTCTATCTCAAAAAAAAGAGTATACGTAGATGAAAACATTACATCGTACCCCATATATACATATAATTATTGTCAGTTAAAAATTAAAAAAAAAAAAAACAACTTGTTACAGCACTCTGTCTATAAGAGAGTGAAAGAAAATGATTCAGTTTTCATTTCACAGACATTTCCAGAGTGCTTGTCACATTATCAGCCCTATGCTATAGGTGATTCAGCTTTGGATTCAACTGTGAGCAAAGAATTAACAGACTGCTAGGAGAGAAGAGTGTGTAAATAACTATGTGTTTTCATTGGTTTTGTCAAGGTGAGCCCAATAAGAAAACGTTTTGAGTATAAACTTATAAAATTATATCACCTGTATGCACCTCTACCAATGCTTTAGGGGACAGTTTTCTAGTTCTCTAGAACTTTAAAAAAATAGAATTTTTTTGGCCTGTAATCCTAGTACTTTGGGAGACTGAGGTATGAGGATCACTTGAGTCCAGGGTTTGAGACAAGCCTGGGAAACATGGCAAAACTCTGTCTCTACAAAAAATGTTTTAAAAATAGCTGGGCTGGTGGCACTCTCCTGTGGTGCCAGCTACTTGGGAGGCTGAGGTGGGAGGATTGATTGAGCCTGGGAGGTGGAGGCTGGAGTGAACCATGATTACGCTACTGCACTCCAGCAGCCTGGTAACAGAGTGAGACTCTGTATCAAACAAAAAGAAATCTTCATGTCCTAAGAATGTATTTTTTATTTTAAAATAATGTGTGCATATTAAGGCACATTTGAACTTCATAGAAAAGCAAGAAGAAATAAAATGTCACTCTTCTAGACGAAAAAATGCACTATTTGCATGTTGTATATTTCTTCTAGCCTTTTTCCCCCTACGGTGGTATTTGTAGATCTTAGAAGAGGCTATAACTGAAACTTAAGTGAACCTGCAACTAGCATTATTAGATCTTTTAATTTAGGCTTTTTGAAAAATTAATTTTATGTATTTATTTTTTAGGACTATATAGTTGACAAAGCCCATATTAAAGCAGAATGACCCATCTCTATTTGAATATGCTCAGAAGGTAGCCCTCCAGCTGAATGTGTAGCATGTGAACTCAGGGGATTCATTTCACTGTTCCCATTCTTCATAGGTGCCCCTGACCCCACAGCTGGGGCCAGCATTGATGATGAGAACTGTTGGCATTTGGATGAAGAACAGGTGAAAGAACAAGTGAAGCTTTTTCTCTCCCAGGGGGGTTACTGTGGCTCTGGAAAGCAACTCAACTCAATGTTTGCCAAGGTAAGATATGAAAAGAGATTTTTCTTTTGTTGTTGACAAAAGAAGCTTAAGATAGACTGGGCACACCACACTTCAGGCTTCATGCATTATACCTAGCTCACTTGACATAGCTGCACTAAATACTTGAAATCTAGTGGGAGAGGCTGACCAGACCTGAGCAGGTTGCATCCAGGGAATCCTACCACCTCAGCCTAGTAGTCCTGTTCCTTTTACTTCACTCTCTAAATGAGTTAGCATTGCTGGGGCATTTTAGCAAAAAAAAAAAAAAAAAAAAAAAAAACACCTTCCCTCTGCTTTTAATCCAGTGCTGCCTGATGAAGCTTGAAGACTAGAGTTTCAACATTGGTCCTGAAGATACTTAGTATTTTAAACTAGGGGGTCTCACAGCAGGCTGTTTTTCTTTTCATTCTTTTTTTTTTCTTTAATACTTTCAGTGAGATATAATTCATATACCATACAATTCACCCATTTAAAGTGTTAAACTTCAGTGATTTTTAGTTTATTCATAGTTATATGCAGCCATCACCACAGTCAGCTTTAGAACATTTTCATCACCTCAAAAAGAAACCCCATACCCTTACCTATCCCTCCCTTGTCCTCCATGTCTTCTTCCCCAAGCCCTAAGAAACCACTAGTCTACTTTCTGTCTCTATATATTTCCCTATTCTTGACTTTCATATGAATGCAGTCATTCATATAGTATGTAGTCTTTTATGGTTGGCTTCCTTCACTCAGCATAATGTTTTTAAGATTCATTGGTGTCATAGCATGAATCAGTACTTCATTACTTTTTATGTCTGAATAATAAATATGGATTTATTGTTCAAACTGTGGATACCCTACATTTTGTTTATCCATTCATCTATTAGTGAAAATTTGGGTTGTTTCTACCTTTTGGCTATTATGAATAGTACTGCTACAAACATTCTTGTATAAGGTTCTATGTAGACATATATTTTCTTTCTTTCTTGGAGTGGAATTGATGGGTCATATGGTAACTCTATGCTTAATCATTTGAGGAACTGCTAGTCTGTTTTCCAAGGTGGCTGTATCATTTTACATTCCCACCAATAGTATATGATGGGTCAATTTCTTTACAACCTATCCAACACCTGTTGTTATCTGACTTTTTAATTCTAGCTATCCTAGTGGGTGTGAAGTGGTATCTTGTTATACCACTTGTGAACATCAGGCTTTCTTGATACATGCAGAGATCTTGCTTACAGAACAAGAGGTCTTTCTGGCTCTTTTGGATATAGTGTACTCAGATACTTCATCTTCACTTCCCCCTCCTCCTCTTCCTTCTCCTCCTACTTTTTTGTGATGCACAATCACCACTTCTTATGTGTCAGGTTCGAGAAATGCTGCGGATGAGAGATTCCAATGGAGCAAGGATGCTGACGCTAATAACTGAGCAGTTCATGGCTGACCCACGACTCACACTCTGGAGACAACAAGGAACAAACATGACGGATAAGTGCAGGCAGCTCTGGGATGAGCTAGGTAAGTTCTCATCTTTCAGAGAAGTGCTTTGTCCTACCATCTTGCCCTGTGGCAACAAGTGTTCATGAACCTTTGTGATCAATCATTACATGGATCTTGCTATCTCTGCTACCAGTTCAGCTGGTAACACTGAACTCACTTTTGTTGCTTCCACAGCATTGTGCTTTGCTATTGTCATCAAGCATTCTGTTCCAGATGTTACTACATGGAAACCTTTGCTGAGAGAAAACCTCTTTACTTCGCTTCTGTTGCATGACACTAGCCTGACTCTCCAAATACTTAGCCTCACTGTTGTTGCTTTCCCAGAGTCTGCTCTTCTGTATCACTTTCAGCCAGACCTTTAAGACACAGGGCTATTTCCAATACTTGGACTTTGACCTTCTATTCTTCTTTGTCTATATTCCCTTGAGAACTTTTTTTTTTAAATATCATAGCTTCAGAGCTTACTTATATGGTCATTTCAGCTTTATCTTCTTTCTACTTACCTGAGTTCTAGACCTATATGAGTAGATGTCCATTGACCATTCCCACTGAGAAACCAAAAATGAACTCAGACTTTCTCCTACAAAAAGAATGTTCTTCTGACTGGCATTGGCACCACCATTCCTTACCCTACCAAAGTTACTGCCAAGCACTCATTTTTCTTTCATTCCCCACATCCAGTCACTAACTTTATTTGATTTCTCAACTTTTAAAACGCAATGTGGTGTCCATTCTCCCTTAAAACTTTTAGATTAGGTTAGAACTACCTTCTAATGGCCTCTCTGTTCTAGGTTCTCCCTCATCAAGGCAGTCCTCTTTGGTCATCATTTCTCTTTAGCATTCCCTTGCTCCAAGACCAGTTTTGCCATGCTAATACTTCTAGACCTGCTTTCAGAATCTTCCATACCCTGAACTCAGGTTCACATACTACTAAGTTGTGGCTGTAGCACTGGAAGCCCAGTCAATATAACTTTAAATCAAACATCCCTCTGTAACATCTCCCTCAGTTCTATCTTAAGTCCTTCTATTTTTTTCAAAGTGCATATTCCTTAAGAATTTGTAGTCAGCCTTCTTCAGAAAGTCAGTTTCATCTGAGGCCTGAGTATCTTAATTTCTGTACCAGTCACAGGATTGTGCTGTGGACTTGGGTTTTGCCTCTGGGACAAAGGTAGTTGAAAGGAAGTAAGTAGAACTGGCTCCCAACGCTTTTAAAGCTCTTGTTATATACTTGGGTTCATTATGAAAAGCTCTTGCTTCTGACCTTTTCATATCTTAACAAATTACTATATCAACCTTCAAAGAAACCTTCAGCATTCTGCTAAGACAATGATTCTGAAACTTTTTAGAATCACCTGGAGTGCTTGTTTAAACAGATCACTGGACCCTATCCTGAGTTTCTGATTCAGTAGCTTGGAATGGGACCTAAGAATTTGCATTTCTAACAAATTCCCAGGGGATGCCGATGCTGCTGATCCAGCAACCACACTTTGAGAACCACTGCACTTGGAGAAGGCTTATTAGGTTAGACACCAGAACACAGTGCATTCATGCTTCCCCTATTTTAAGGGCTGCCTTAGTTATTCTTAGGGCTCTTTACTGATCACAAGGCCTATGCATCTATGGAGAACCTAGGCAGGGTTTATAGGAACTACAAATGTAGAAAGAAATGGCTTACTACTTTCAGTTTCTGAACTAGAGAAAATGGGAGCAATCAGACATGAAGTTTCATCATCTACCCACCTACAAATATACTAATGCTTTCTATGTCTATTCCCATATGGTTTGCCTTCTCCTCTGTTAAAATCCATAGAGTATCTCTGCTATCATGAAAGGCTAACCCTTACATGTTTGCTGTGGGTTCTATTTTATCTCCTTTTCTCAAGAATGTTGCTCCTACAATTATTTCTTTGCTTGGGTATTATTAACTTTTTTCTCTCTACAAAATCATTCCCATTAGCATACAAATATGCTCTAATATCTTTTTTTTTTTTTTTTTTTTTTAAGACAGAATCTCACTCTGTCATCCAGGGTGGAGTGCAGTGGCACAATCTTGGCTCACTGCAACCTCCGCCCCCTGGGTTCAAGCAATTCTTCTGCCTCAGCCCTCCAAGTAGCTAGGACTATAGGCATGTGCCACCATGCCTGGCTAATTTTTGTACTTTTAGTAGAAACAGGGTTTCACCATGTTGGCCAGGCTGGTCTCAAACTTCTGACCTCAGGTGATCCACCCGCCTTGGCCTCCCAAAGTGCTGGGATTACAGGCATGAGCCACCATACCTGGACTGCTCAAATTTTTTAAAATACTCCTTTGATGCTCCAACTTTCTCTACCAACTATTACCCCACTTCTCTTCTCCCCTTTGAAACAACATTTCTTTAAAAATAAATTATCTGTGGTCACTCTTTGCATTTGCTCTCCTCCATTCTTCCTTCAGCCCACTTCTGTTGGGTTTCCATTGCTCATTGCTGCTAGTCTCCTGAAGCAGCTCTTGTCAAAATCCCAAGTAACTTGCATATTACTAAATACAACAGTCACTTCTCTGTTCTCATCTTACTTCAAAACTCTTAGTAGTTTTCAGTAAAGTTGACCATACTCTTTTATTTTTCCTTCCTTTTGTAGTGACAGGGTCTTGCTCTGTGTCCGGGCTGGTCTTGAATTCCTAGCCTCAAGCAATTCTACCTCCTCCTCCCAAAGTGCTGGAATTACAGGCACAAGCCACAAGCCCATACTCTTTTGGTTTCCATAACTGCATACCCATTTGGTTTCTCTACTGTGGTCCTGGTGACTTTCACTCAGTCTCCTTTGTAGACTTCTCTGCCTTTCCTCGACGCTTCTAAATATTGAATGCCTCCCAGCATCCACTTTCCTGTTTATATTCTTTACCTAAATGATTATATATTCACTAACATGGCTTTAAATACTATCCAGATGCAGGTAAATTACAAATGTATGTCTCTAGCCCTGATCTTTCCTCTGAGCTCCAGGCTGTGTCCAGCTGCCCATCACTTCTAAGAAACATCTCAAACTTAATAAGGCCATCAGGAAAATTAAGAGTTCTTAATTTTCCTGCCAAAGCCTTATCTTCTGCTTGTTGTCACCATCTCAATATACATCATCAAGATGTATTATCTTGTTGCTGGATGGCCAAGCACGGTGGCTCCCTCTGGTAGTTCTAGCACTTTCGGAGGCTCAGGCAGGCGGATCAGCTGAGGTCAGGAGTTTGAGACAAGCTTGGCCAACATGGTGAAACCCTGTCTCTAATGAAAATACAAAAAATTAACTGGACATGGTGGCGGGTTCCTGTAATCCCAACTACTCAGGAGACTGAGGCAGGAGAATCACTTGAACCTGCGAGGCAGAGATTGCAGTGAGCTGAGATCACACCACTGCACTCCAGCTTGGCGACAGAGCGAGACGCCATTGTTGCTCAAGAAGAAAATTAAAGAGTTATCCTTGATTCCCTATTTTCTGTCTTTTACATCCAAATCAAGACCTGTTGACCCTCAGGCTGAATGAGATAAAATGCTTAATACCTTAATGCCTAGCTGATGAAAGAAATCAATGATAACTATTATTTTGTCATATTTCATATAAAATAATTATGTAAAATTTTAATTTCCATAGTAGATACATTTGCTTAGAGTTTTTGACATTTTTAAATTTCTTTTCTTTTCTTTTTTTTTTTTTTGAAACAGAGTCTTACTCTGTTGCCCAGTGTGGAGTGCAGTGGTACGATCTCAGCCCACTGCAACCTCTGCCTCCTGGATTCACGCATTTCTCCTGCCTCAGCCTTAGAGTAGCTGGGACTACAGGCATGTACCACCATGCCTGGCTAATTTTTCTAGTTTTGTAGAGACAGGATTTCACCATGTTAGCCAGGCTGGTCTCAACCTCCTGACCTCAAGTGATCCACCTGCCTTGGCCTCCCAAAATGCTGGGACCACAGGCATGAGCCACCACACCTAGCCCTAATTTCTTTTTTTTGATTTACTTTGAGACAGGATCTCACTCTGTCCACTAGAGTGGAATACAGTGATGTGATCATAACTCACTGCAACTCAAACTCCTAGGCTCAAGAAATACTTGCACTTCAGCCTCCCGAGTAACTAGGATTACAGGCACAGGCTGCCACACTCGCCAATTCTAATTTTTGGTAAAGATAGGGTCTCACTGTGTTGTGCAGGCTGATCTCAAACTCCTGGCCTTGTGATCCTCCTGCCTCAGCCTCCCCAAGCACTGGTATTACAAGCATGAGACACTCTACCCAGCCAACACTTTTTTTTTTTTTTTGAGATGGAGTTTTGCTCTTGTTACCCAGGCTGAGGTGCAATGGCGCAATCTCGGCTCACCGCAACCTCTGCCTCCTGGGTTCAAGCAATTCTCCTGCCTCAGCCTCCTGAGTAACTGGGACTACAAGCACTCGCCACCATGCCCAGCTAATTTTTGTATTTTTAGTAGAGATGGGGTTTCACCATGTTGACCAGGATGGTCTCGATCTCTTGACCTTGTGATCCACTTTTTTTTTAAGTTGCAGGAAAATGTTTCTGGGTACTGATAACAGTTCTGTGAGTTCTGTTTTATACAGGCAACTAGCAGGACTTTTTGTTCTGTCTCTTTCTCAGAGATGTAATTATCTTTGAGTGTTTTTGAAACAAATTTATAAGGACGTAATTAATAAGACAGAAAACTCATGTTTAACTTACAGGTGAAAATACTTGTGCTCACTTTCTAGGGATCCCCTTCTTTATGTGTGTTTGTGTGTGTGTGTGTGTGAGAGAGAGAGAGAGAGAGAGAGACAGAGAGACAGAGAGACAGAGAGACAGAGAGACAGAGATGGAGTCTCACTCTGTTGCCTAGGCTGGAGTACAATAGCACAATCTTGGCTCACTGCAACCTTGCCTCCCAGACTCAAGAAATTCTCTTGCCTCGGCCTCCTGAGTAACTGGAATTACAGGCACACACTACAATGCCTGGCTAGTTTTTTGTATTTTTAGGAGAGGTGGAGTTTCACCATGTTAGCCAGGCTAGTCTCAAACTCCCAACCTCCAGTGGTCCACCCACCTTAGTCTCCTAGATTGCTGGGATTACAGGCATAAGCCACTGTGCCTGGCCAGTATCCCCTTCTTAATATCAAAATGCCTAGGAAATAGGAACTCCTCCATGACTAGAATTAGCACCCTGTTGTTGTTGGGTTTTTTGTTTGTTTGTTTGTTTGTTTGTTTGCTTCTTAAGCCTTTCTCATCTCACCCAATCTGTTTTCCATTCCTATTATCCTATTTATTTTATCATTCCTAAGGTCACCAATGTTATTCTCATTGCCAGATTTAGTAGCTTCTTTTTTGGTCCTCTTTTTTACCTGTGAAGATTAAATATGAAAATCTGTTTCTCCACTGTAAATAAGAAGCCCTCCTTTTTTTTTTTTTTTTCCACTCAGAAAATGATTCGGTTCCAATGCAGAAAAACCCTTCTTAAACTGTAAAATAAATGTTACTGTAATCCCCTGAAGAGTCACTTTTGTAATTATTATATAGTATAGTTTCTTTTTTCATTGTACATTTAAAAAACTGAATGGAAACAATAGAAATGAGGTCTTTCTTTCTTTCTTTCTTTCTTTTCTCTCTCTCTCTCTCTCTTTCTTTCTTTCTTTCTTTTTCTTTCTCTTTTTTTTTGAAAAGGGTTCTTAGTCACCCAGGCTGGAGTACAGTGGTGTGATCTCGGCTCACTGTAACTTCAACCTGCCAGGCTCAAACAATCCTCCCACCTCAAGCCTCCTGAATAGGTGGGGCCAGCTGGGTACGCACTACCATGCCCAGCTAATTTTTTGTATTTTGGGGAGAGACAGGGTTTTACCATGTTTCTCAGCCTGGTCTCAAACTCCTGAGCTCAAGCAGTGTGCCCACCTTGGCCTCCCAAAGTGCTGGAATTACAAGTGTGAGCCACGGCACCCAGGCAGAAATTAATTTTCATCTTCAATTAATATCTGAAATTGAGGCTAAGATGGCTTTTAAAACATTCCTATTTGGCTTTGAGAGGCTTTGAAATAGTGTCCAAGTATATCTGTATCCATGGATGTAGGTACATCCTAAAGGATATTTATATTAAGACACACTGCAGCCAGGGTTGTTGCTAATTTGAGATTGAGAAATTATCTGGCTCAGCCACATAAACAATCTTGAAAAGAAGACACTGATTTGCTTTAAAAGGGGGATGATATGGACAAAGAAATAGTACCCATTATTGGTTATGTGGAATATGTGATGCTATGCTACAGTAACAAAAAATCCTGGCCAGCTGTGGTGGGTCACGCCTATAATCCCAGCACTTTGGGAGGCTGAGGCAGGCAGATCATGAGATCAAGACCATCCTGGCTAACACAATGAAACCCTGTTTCTACTAAAAATACAAAAAAATTAGCTGGACGTGGTAGCACGTGCCGGTAGTCCCAGCTACTCAGGATGCTGAGGCAGGAGAATCACTTGAACCCAGAAGGTGGAGGTTGCAGTGAGCTGAGATTGCACCACTGCACTCCAGCCTGGGCAACAGAGCGAGAATCCATGTCCAAAAAAAAAAAAAAAAAAAACCCAAGAAAGTATGGTTTTAAGGCATTACAAGTTAGCAGCAGTTTCAAAATCCAAGTCCAAAGAAATTATTTTTCTTGGATAAGCAAATACTAATATCCTACTATGTGCTAGGTAATATGTTAGACCCTTTACAAAGATTATGTCATTTAATTCTCACAATATCCCTACAAAGTAGGTATTTCTATGATCTCAGTTTTACAGTTGAAGGATTTGATGAAACTCAGGAAGTCCAGCTAACCAAAAAAATAAAACCTTTTCTGACTTCCTCACTTCCAACCCTGTTCTTGTATTAAATGCCCTTCCTCTATGCTGCTTTCATGCCCTAAACGTATCTTTATCTTAATACTTATCATATTCAAATGGAATTATGTTTATTTATCTGTCTTCCTCACTAGACAGTTCTCAAGGGTAGGAACAGTATCTGTTTTAATCACCAGCACAGAGCCTTAACATAGAAGGCTTGTAATAAATATTTATTACACTGTAGATCTGAACTCAGAGTTCAACCCTAAATCTGTCTTTATATCACAGGCACACATTCAAATAACAAGATAGTCACTCTGCTTTAAGGAAACTTTGGTAAGGAAAAACAAGCCAGTTCTGAAAATCTTAGCAAATTTTTTATATTAAGAAAAGTTAAATAAATAATTCTGCAAAACAATTGTAATTATATTGTGGTGGCCACAGCTAGTTGGCTGATTATCATGTCCACTTATTTTAATATGTTATTCTTTTTAGCCAATGGCTGCTGTAAACATAATTGTGAAGACTTTGTCTAATCTCAGTTACCAAAACCTTAAATAACTAGCTTTTCACATGCTAGTTAATGTTTTCTTTTCTTTTTTTTTTTTTTTGAGACGGAGTCTCACTCTTGTTACCCAGGCTGGAGTGCAATGGCCCGATCTCGGCTCACCGCAACCTCCGCCTCCTGGGTTCAGGCAATTCTCCTGCCTCAGCCTCCTGAGTAGCTGGGATTACAGGCACGAGCCACCATGCCCAGCTAATTTTTTGTATTTTTAGTAGAGACGGGGTTTCACCATATTGACCAGGATGGTCTCGATCTCTCGACCTCGTGATCCACCCGCCTCGGCCTCCCAAAGTGCTGGGATTACAGGCTTGAGCCACCACTCCTGGCTTAGTTAATGTTTTCTTGTTGAAGTTATCTGTTACTGAGATTTAGTGAATTGTAATAAAAATGGCACAGTATGATAAAAAAAAAAAAGAAAAGGTTAACGCTTTGGAAACTTTCTCTATCAACTAAAAATGAAATTGAAACATTAAGGCTTACACACACATCAAAGGAGAGATGTTAAGAATATGGGTTGCTTCATTTTCCAGGGGCTTTATGGGTGTGCATAATTTTAAATCCACACTGCAAACTAGAGGCGAAATCTTGCTGGCTGCAGCAGCTGCAGAAGTGGAGCGACCTGGATGTCTGTCCCCTAGAGGATGGAAACTATGGACATGAGCTGCCAAACATCACCAATGCACTTCCCCAGCATGCCATTCACAACCCAGGTGAGTCAAGTGTCCTTTTAGGATTTTTGTACCTGGAACTCAAAAGGTGGGAGGCTAAACCATAGAACAGTGGTAGCCAGATAGCCTGTTGGCTGTCAGAATTGCCATTCTAAAGAAGAAAAGCCTATGTTTGAATTCATCTTGAAATGCAAAACCTTAAATAAGGATAAGCTTTTGTCTTTGACACTGAGTTGCTATCCTTTTCCACATCTAGACTGTCCTTACAGTGCCCAGTATAAAGTCCTAGTCTACTCTTCAGGTTCTTCATGTCTAATGTATTAAATATCTTGGCTTCAGTTGGGGTTGGTTTTAGCTCAGACCTGACTTAGGGGAGGAAAAAAAGACCTATAAAAAGCAGTTTAAAAAAGTGTCCTGACCATAGCTTTTCTTAATTCTATTTTCCTCAAATTCTTACACAGCAGATAGCTGGGTAGGATCATCCTCCCATATTATTGGTAGGATTCCTGCCCCATTTTAAGATAAGTCCAGTACAGTGATACTGTGCCCACTGGCCTACAGACATTGCTTGACATCAGCCTTCACATCAGTTTTGCTTCAGCTAATTCAGTCTATTTGATGTTGGCAATTGATTATGCTTTAGCCCATTGAGAGCCTTTATTGGTAGGAGATTTTATCAGATACTGATTATAAAATTGGTTCCTTTTATTTTATTTTATTTTATTTTATTTTACTTGGAGACAGGGTCTCACTCTATTTCCCAGGCTGGAGTGCAGTGGCTCAATCTTGGCTCACTGCAACCCACACCTCTGGGGTTCAAGCGATTCTCAGGCCTCAGCCGCCTGAGTAGCGGGGATTGCAGGTGTGAGAGCCATCATGACCGGGTAATTTTTGTATTTTTAGTAGAGATGGGGTTTCACCATGTTGGCCAGGCTGGTCTCAAACTCCTGACCTTGATCTGCCCACCTCAGTGTCCCAAAGTGCTGGAATTACAGGCATGAGCCACTGCGCCCAGCAGTTCCTTTTATTTTAAATGATTATTGGTATTTTCAGTTTGAAGGAGGAAATCACAAAAATTATTGTTTTTGCTTGGTCTTCTTCTGTACTATAATTAGTTGCCAGTATATTTAAGACGACTAAGGTAATGAAAAATTAAAAGGCACAATTTTGCCACTTCTTTAGCCTCTCTTGGCACTCATCTACCTTCCACAACACAAGAAGCCATCTCTTTGGTATTGGCTTTGGACAGCACAGAGAGGGTCATAGGACTACACACACGTGCCTTGTTGTGTTGCCCAGGCTGGAGTGCAGTGGTGCAACCTTGGCTGACTACAACCTCCACCTCCCAGATTCAACTGATTCTCCTGCCTCAGCCTCCTGAGTAGCTGAGACTACAGGTGCAGGCCACCACGCCCAGCTAATTTTTGTATTTTTAGTAGGTACAGGGTTTTACCATATTTGCCAGGCTGGTCTCAAACTCCTCAAGTGATCTGCCCATCTTGGCTTCCCAAAGTGCTTGATTACAGGCATGAGTCACCATGCCCAGTCTAGTCTGGCGGTTTCTTCCTTGTCATAATATATTGGTTCTTTGTTGTTGTTAGTTCTCCTTTAGAGATGTTGCCTCTTCTAAAGCCTTCTCAGGTTGTGACTGATATCTCTCTCACATCCCTTGACCTTTGAGGCTGGAGAAGCAGCTGATTCCTGCCTATTTTTCATAGTCATTTCTACATAATTCTCCTTCCTACCATCTTAAAATACTTCCAGGTTTAAGTTTATGCCAAACTGTAATGTCTGCTACCCTTCTAGTTTTTGGCATCTGTAGACCTCTGGGTTAATCCCTCTAATTCCTTCAAGACTTTTAGCTATTGGCTTACTAATACTACTGTCACTGTTCCTATCATAATTCTTTTTTTTTATTATTTGTTTTTTTGAGACTGGGTCTCACTCTGTCACCCAAGCTAGAGTGAAGTGGTGTGATCTTGTCTCACTGCAACCTCTGTCTCCCAGGCTTGAGTGATTCTCCCATCTCAGCCTCCCGAATAGCTGGGACTACAGGCATGAGCCACCACTCACAGCTAAATTGTGTTTGTGTGTGTGTGTGTGTGTGTGTGTGTGTGTGTGTGTGTGTGTGTGTTTTATAAAGACAAGGTTTCGTCATGTTGCCCAGGCTAGTTGCAAACTCCTGAGCTCAAGCATTCATCCTGCCTTGGCCTCCTGAAATGCTGGGGTTAGAGGCATGAACCACCACTCTGATTATTGTCATAATTGTTGATGATTTCAGTAGCCACATAGACGACCCTTCCAATACCCTGGCCTCTCAGTTCTTTGATTTCCTCTTTTCTAGTAGTCTCATCCTCCACCATAACTTAGCCATCCAACCCCAAAATCATACCCTAAACCTTGACATTACAAAAACTACACCCTCTTCATAATCTCAATTTCAAGCATCACCAGTTACCACAATCAATCTTGCTAGCTTTTTTTTTTTTTAGTATCCCAATTTCAGTAATTCTTTGACTCTCTAGGAATTTTTGTCTTACTGTGTAAGACAAAATGTGTTTTGACTCTTTTGATAGCCTCATTTTCCTCCTCATCCATGTTAGATTTCTTGGTACCGCATTACAATCACTCCTTTGCATACACACTCAACTCCCTCTTTGCCTTTGATACACTGGTAGGAGAACTCTAAACTTAGTTCATTCCAACTCTAATTAGTTGATACACTTTCACAGCTGAATATGGCTAGAGAGAAACAACCATAGCCAGGCACAGTGGTTCCTGCCTGTAATTCCAGTACTTTGGGAGACCAAGGTTGGGGAACCACTTGAACTCAGGAAATCGAGACTGGCCTGGGCAACATGAGGAAACCCTGTCTCTACAAAAAAATACAAAAATTAGCCAGGTGTGATGGTACATGCCTGTAGTCCCAGCTACTTGGGGGACTAAGATAATTGGATTGCTTGAGCCCAGGAGGTCAAGCCTTCAATGAGCTAAGGTCATGCCAGTGCACTCCAGCCTGGGCAACGAAATAAGACCCTCTCACAAAAAAGAAAGAAAGAAAGAATCATAATAACTGGTCTTATTTTAAGTTTATGACCACTCATTTCAAGGGGTCCTCAGTATTTTCTGGACATCTACTACATTTCCCTAGTCTGTGCTGTCTTTCACTCTTGTAAATTACTATTTCACACCATCTTTTTTCCAAAATTTTCTGTACTTTCTTTCCTTCCTCAGTTTCAGCTGAGTCTTGCTTCCTGTTTACTAAAAATATAGAACCAATTGGAAGAAAATTTCCAAAACTGCATCACCACATCTGTGGTAATGGGTCTAAAGAAATACTGTCCTAGTAGGTCAAAGAATTACTATCTTTGCCTATCTACTCTGCCTCTTCCCCTGTTGCAGTCTATGCTACTAAATCCAAACCTTCCAGTTATTCTCAAGATCCTATTACATCACTTTTATCTAGGATATCACCCCAGGAATTAACAAGAAATTATTTCCTCTCTCTCTTTCATCAACAATTTTTTACTCTTCATGAATCATTCCCAAGTGTACAAACATATTGTTATATTTCCCATACCAAAACAAAACAAAAAACACTCTTGTGACTCCACTTGCCTCTCTGGGTAGCAGAAATGGGTGGCAGAATTAGGCAAAAACATTAAAAAGAATAGTACAGCCGGGCGCGGTGGCTCAAGCCTGTAATCCCAGCACTTTGGGAGGCTGAGGCGGGTGGATCACAAGGTCGAGAGATCGAGACCATCCTGGTCAACATGGTGAAACCCTGTCTCTACTAAAAATACAAAAAACTAGCTGGGCGTGGTGGCGCGTGCCTGTAATCCCAGCTACTCAGGAGGCTGAGGCAGGAGAATTGCCTGAGCCCAGGAGGTGGAGGTTGCAGTGAGCCGAGATCACGCCATTGCACTCCAGCCTGGGTAACAAGAGCGAAACTCCGTCTCAAAAAAAAAAAAAAGAATAGTACAGATTTGCCGTCTTCATTTCTTCTGTTCTTAGTCTCCCTCGAATTCACTCCAAGACAGGTTTTCAATCCCTGCTGAAACGACTCTTGTACTGTATACTAATGCCAACTGTTGCTAAATCTAGTAGTTGTTCTCAGTCATAACCTTACTTGACCTATCAGCAATATTTGACACATTAGTCACTCTCTTTTTGAAACTTGTCATTTGATTTTTCCAAGAAACCACTCTCTCGGGTCTCCTTATTTCACTGACCCTTCCTTGTAAGTCTACTGTCTCTTCCCCACTTTCCAACCTAAAATGCCATAGTGCCCAGGGATCTGTCATCAGACCACCTCTCTATACTTCTTTGTTGATTGCATCATCTTAATAATCATCTATATACTGACAACTCCCAAATATATGTCTCTTGCCCAGACCTTTCCTTTCAACTTCAGACATGTATATTCAACTGCCTTTTTGTTATTTCCATTTATCTGTTAATAGGCATCTCAGCAGAATTTCTTACCCCTCAAGCCCCACCCAAACCTGCTCCTCTTACAGTCTTCCTATCTCCATATATGGCAACATTTACAATTTTTAATAGAATTCTTATAACAATGCTATAATGATCTATAGATATTGCGAAGCATGGTTCAGATCATTTTAAGAAACTTATGCAAGTTTTTATAGTCTGAAAATGACACCAAACACTAAATAACATATTACTAATTAAGAGAAGTAAAGTTTCCCGGGTGTAGTGGCTCATACCTGCAATCCCAGCACTTTGGGAGACTGAGGCGACCAGATCACAAAGTCAGGAGATCGAAACCATCCTGGCTAACACGGTGAAACCCTGACTCTACTAAAAATACAAAAAAATATCCAGGTGTGGTGGCATGCGCCTGTGGTCCCAGCTACTTGGGAGGCTGAGGCGGAAGAATCACTTGAACCCAGGAGGCGGAGGTTGCAATGAGCCGAGATTGCGCCACCGCACTCCAGCCTTGTGACAGAGCAAGACTCCGTCTCAAAAAAAAAAAAACCTTGGAGTCATTCTAGATTCTTTACTGTCTCTCACTCTGGCTGTAATCCATGAGCAAATTCAGTATGTTGCCTTTATCTTTGAAATATATCCAGAATCCAACTACTGCTCATCATCTCCACTCCTTCTTTCTCTGACCAGCTACCATCATCTCTAACAGATTATTGTAGTGGCCACCTGACTGCTCCCCCTTCTTCTGCCCTTCCACCTTATAATCTATTCTCAATATTGCTGCCAGAGTTAACCTTTTTGTATGCAAGTCCCATTGTATACCTTCACAGCTCAAAGCTCTTCGTGGCCTCCCATCTTTCTCAAAAACACAAAGCCATCTTTCTCTCATGGCCTACCATGATCTGGTTCTCTACTATGTCTCTGACCTCATCTCCTGTGATCTTCCTGCTTGCTTATTCCATCCAACTATACTGGTCTCCTTAACTGTCCTCAAATACTCCAAATATGCTTCTACCTCAGGACTTAGTACTTGCTGTTCCTTTTTCCTGGAGACCATTCTCTATGTGTGAATAAAACAATAACCTCCTGCCTAACACCAGCTTGCTTTTCTTCCTAACTCTGCTTTAGACTTTTTCATAGCATTCATAGCTATATGATATATCTGATATACTATATATTTACCTTACTGTTTCTCCCCAGTTGATTGTAAAGTCCATAAAGACAGGGACTTTGTATGTCCTAAGCGCTAAGAACAGTAGCTACTGTATAGTAGGCAGTAATTATTTGCTGATTTAATGAATTTAAAAACATATTAGGAGCCCAGTACCCACTGTGGGTTGAGCAGACCCATGGTGGGTTCTCAGTTCAGCAGAAGAGGAGCGTAGATTCCAGCCAATAGAAGAGTCAGTGTGCTTCCTCTGAGGGACAACATGAAGGAGAAGCAATTTCAGTAAATACTGTCAGTGCTACTCTAATAATAATATCCTTCAGTCATCTGAGCCTATACCCACTGGGATATATTAAATTCTAAAGAGATGACCAGATTGCAAGGACTTTTCCTGAATGGTTGAATATGTTAGGTTCTTTCATATTCAGTATGAATTCCCTGACATTCCCTCATAATTTTTTGTACAGAATCAGTAGGTACACACCTCATTTGGCATCTCTGGAAATGTCCGTATAATAAAGTACTTCAGTTCTTGATCCCAAACTAGTTTATATTGCCATTTATCTGGCAAAGCATCAGTTAAATGATTCCCTTATGATTTCTTATTACCTTAAATATCATTTCCATAGTCCTCCCTAAGTCTATGGTTTATGGCAAGATATCTTCCATTTGTTCCTCCTACATATCACTCTTAAGAGTTGAGCCTACTTTTTTGTCTGCAGTTTTGGTTTCCCTATAGCCCTTTTCCAGGCATGGTAATACTCCAGTGAGAAAACAAGTTTGTCTTTTATTAGCATCAGTTTTTTCTTTTTTTTTTTTTTCTAAGGCACAATCTCGTTTTGTTACCCAGGCTTGAGAGCAGTAGCACAATCTTGACTCACTGTGACCTCAGCCTCCTGGACTCCAATGATTCTCCTGCCTCAGCCTCTCTGAATAGCTGGGACTACAGGCCCATGTCATCATGCCCAGCTAATTTTTATATTTTTTGTAGAGACAGGGTTTTGCCACATTTCCCAGGCTGGTCTCGAACTCCTGGACTCAAGCAATCCACCAGCCTCAGCCTCCCAAAGTGCTGGGATTACAGGTGTGAGCCACCACACATGGCCTCATCAGTTTTTTCTTACTGGAGAACAAGACTATAAGCCTGCAGATATCAGTGTAATAAAGTATCTGAATATACAGAACTTCAGCTCTTTCTTTTTTATTTTTATTTTTTGAGTGGGATCTTGCTCCGTCACCCAGGCTGGAGTCTTGGCTCACTGCAACCTCTACCTTCTGAGCTCAAGGGATCCTCCTGCCTCAGCCTCCCAAGTATCTAGAAGCACAAGCATGTGCTACTATGCCTGGCTAATTTTTTAATTTTTTGATTTCTTATAGAGACAGTGTCTTGCCCAGGCTGGTCTTGAACTCCTGGCCTCAAGTGATCCTCCTGCCTTAGCTTCCCAAAGTTCTGGGATTATAGGCAGGCATCATTGTAGCTTCAGCTGTATTTCAACTCTTAATATGAATTTCATGAAAGTCCTTGGTCTGATAAGAGTCATGATATAAATGAAACAAGTTATAGATTGGCCAAGGAAATTACCTGGCCTCTTCTCTCTACCTTTGACCTCTGTAGAAGCAGTTTCTATCTTTATGATTGAGTGGCTAAGCACCACTACTCCTCCTCTATTTCATTTTGCTTCTGGGTCTTAGGAGAAATTAGTCTTCTGTAGGAGGAGGAAGGCAGCCATAGATCTCTGTGGGAAGGTTATTTCTATAGAGAGCACACACACTAAAAGCTTATCTAAGAAGCAGGCAACACAGCATATACTCAGAGAGATTGCAAGTGGCTGCTCTCTTTGCCCTTCCACCTTATAATCTATTCTCAATACTGCTGCCAGAATTATTCTTTTAAAATACTATTCAGCAAACCTCCCACACTGAAGAAGACTCAGGGCTTAAACAAATTGCCTGTCACTGTACTGCTGCATGTTCTTCTTTCTCCAGACTCCTTATCCAGACCAAGACGAACAGTATTCACTAGAGCCATTGAGGGCCGTGAATTACATTGGCAGGACAGCCACCTACAGCGAATAATCAGCAGTGATATTTATACAGCACCTGCCTGCCAGCGAGAAAGTGAAAGACTACTCTTTAATTCCCAAGGCCAGCCACTGTGGCTTGGTAAGTCTGTCCCTCCTCTAAGAATTTTAGGGCCCACCCTCACTTCATGCCAGGCCCAAATGAGCCATCTTCATAAGTACTTGCAACTCAAACTACAATTTGGACAGTTTCCACACAGATCTTTTGGGGCCTTTATTAGGGATATTTATGTGAAGCCTAAGCCATTTGCATGTATACTCATGTGATACAGTAACCTCAAATAGGAATTTACATCCTGCCTCTAAGCTTTGGGGGGTGAAAGGACTTAATGCAGTTAGTACTAAAAGAGTGCTAACAAAGCAATTAGGCATCAGTTCAGCTTCCCTCAGTCAGTAGTTACTGAGCAACATAGTCTACTCTGAAATTGTATGTTTTGCTAAAAAAGCATGAATTTGAAATTTAAATCTCTTATGCTAGTAAGTAGGACACAGTATGCATTTGTCACCAAGCAGTCTTCCTTTTCTCCTCCCCACCTTCCTACCTTCCTCCATGATAACAAGATAGAGCTGTTTCATTGTGAGTTTCAACCCTCCTCTGAAATAGTTTCCTGACTTTGCCTCAATCAACCTGTCCCTGACTTTATCACAGGATACCCATTTCAAAAGAGACATTCTTTTTTAAAAGACTCATTTTCTGAGTCTTACAGCAATGACATGCATTTTCGTTGTCTATTCCCAATTCCCTACCTTCATCTCTCACACCGTATTTTTGTCTTTCTCAAGATTTTGCTGAATCTAGATACGTCCCTGTCTTTCTCTTGAAAGCCATAGCCAGATACATTGAGTCATTACCTGAAGTTCCCTCTGATCATCTTTCTTCTTCTGTGATCCAGCACTTCTGAAACATAAATCTAATAAGCATGTGAAAAAATATACACCTCATTAATAAAGATGCAAATTAAACTAACACTCAGCATCTTTTGATTGTCAAATGGTCAGGGTTTTTAATTAAGATAATTAGTTTCTGGTGTGAGAGAGGTTGCATGGAGCTAGGTACTCTCATTTACTACTTGTAGGAGTGTAAATGCTTAAGACCTTTCTGAAGGGTATTTCTTATCAAAAGCCTTAAAATACATTCATACCATGGGATCTAGGAATTCTACATCTAGGAATTTATCCTGAGCCGTAATTAACTAAGGAAATGCATATAGTTAAGGGTTTCATTACAGCATGGATAAAAATAAGGTACAGAAGAGAAAAATTGAAAACCATATAAATATCCAACAACAGAGGATTGATTAGCTCGATAGATATACATGTATTCAACAGAACGATATATAATCATTTTTAATGTTACAGATATATATTTGATAACATGAGAAAATATTTATAATGTGTTATTAAGTGGAAAGGTCAGTTACAAAACAGTAAGTATAATACCATCCCATTTTTGGTAAAAACTTAATAGCCTGGGCGCAGTAGCTCACGCCTGTAATCCCAGCACTTTGAGAGGCTGAGGTGGGTGGATCACCTGAGGTCAGGAGTTTGAGACCACCCTGGCCAACATGGTAAAACCCTGTCTCTATTGAAAATACAAAAATTTTCCAGGTGTGTTGGCACAAATCTGTAATTCCAGCTACTCAGGAGGCTGAGGCAGGAGAATCGCTTGACCCAGGGAGGTGGAGGTTGCAGTGAGCCGAGATCACACCACTGTACTCCAGTGTGGGCAACAGAATGAGACTCATCTCAAAATAAGAAAAAAAAACTTAATAGAAAAGTACAAGTGGCCGGGCGCGGTGGCTCAAGCCTGTAATCCCAGCACTTTGGGAGGCCGAGGCGGGTGGATCACGAGGTCGAGAGATCGAGACCATCCTGGTCATCATGGTGAAACCCCGTCTCTACTAAAAATACAAAAGCTGAGGCAGGAGAATTGCTTGAACCCAGGAGGCGGAGGTTGCGGTGAGCCGAGATCGCGCCATTGCACTCCAGCCTGGGTAACAAGAGCGAAACTCCGTCTCAAAAAAAAAAAGAAAAGTACAAGTAAATATACATGGCACTGGAAAGAGTGGTTATTTCTGATTTTCAGTTTATGTTTCTTTATATGTATTTTCAAATTTTCCACAATGACTTCTATAATTTTTAATTTTATCTTTAAAAAAATACAAAATAAACCATAAAGCTTGTTGTAATTACTCACTCATTTGTAAGCCTTTGGTTCTGTAGTCTTCCATTAACCCTAAGGTAAATTCAGACTCCACAGAATGGCATTCAAAGCTCTTTACATTCCAGACTACCTTTTCCAGGCTGTCTTAAGCCATATAATGTAATTCTAACTAAATGGAACTATTTGCAATACTTTGAAGATGGATTCTATTAACATATCAAATAATTTTATGCTTTTACTATTTGCCCTTGCTTATGTTTCCATTGTCAGGAATGTCTTTTCCTGTTTGTCTACCTATTTGAAATCTTACTTGTCCTTTAAAGCACAGCTCAAATATTATTTTCTCTCTGTATATATTTCTATTGTGTTATTCTTTTTAGCTGCTGTATAATTATGTTTATGTATCATTTGTGATCTCTTTGAGGGCAATGACCATTTCTTACTCATCTTTGTACTTTTTTTTTTTCTTATGAGATCCTAATATGGGTTGTCACCAACACCTTTGTACATTTTTGCCCAGCATACTCTCTGGCATATAATAGATTTGCAGGAAATGTAGGATTAATTAAATGAATGAGACTTTTCCCATTATTAGGCAGTTGGTTGCTACCTCCAGTGAGTTCCCATAGTATAATGTATGTTCACAAAGAGAAACTACATTTTATTATCCTACTTGTGTATCCCTTTCTACACCACACACCACACTAAAGCTGCAAGGTAGCTCTTTCAAGATATCACCTGTGATTTATTCAACTTTTTATATCTTTAAAGATAAAGACACAGTTCCTAGTATACAGTAAGTGTCAGGCTGAATTTGAGGAATTGGACTGAACACAAACCCTCTTTGTCAGGCATAAATTTTCCTGATTTGAAATTTTAACTTGAACAAAATATTTTTTTCTTATTTGGTAGAGCATGTGCCTACAGCCTGTGCTCGGGTTGATGCCCTACGTTCTCATGGTTATCCAAAAGAGGCCCTCAGACTCACAGTGGCCATTATTAATACTCTGAGGTTGCAGCAGCAGCGGCAACTGGAAATCTACAAGCATCAGAAGAAAGGTATAGTAATTAGGAGCCATCTAACCCCTTTAGGCCCAAAGCTGATGAGAATCCTTAGGGGATACAAGGCCCAGAGGATCTAGGGAATTCCAGGTCATTCTCCCTGCTGTGTGGAATGTCTCACTTTATCTCTGTGAATCTCAGTTTTCTCATCTGTTAATTTGGGAATAATACCTGTCCGCCTCCCTCATAAGGCATTTGGAAGGCTCATTAAGATCTGGTATGAGAAGACCCTTTTAATGTAAGGCTGTGGACAGGTGTGGTGGCTCACACCTACAATCCCAGCACTTTTGGAGGCCGAGGTAGGAGGATTGCTTGAGGCCAGGAGTTTGAGACCAGCCTGGGCAACATAGTGAGACCCTGTCTTTACAGAAATAAAATAAAATATGCCAGGCACAGTGGCTCACGCCCTGTAATCCCAACACTTTGTGAGGCTGAGGCGGGCAGATCACTTGAGGCCAATAATTCAAGACCAGCCTGACCAACATGGTAAAACCCCATTGCTACCAAAAATACAAAAATAGCCAGGCATGGTGGCGCATGCCTGTAGTCCCAGCTACTCTAGAGGCTGAGGCATGAGAATCATTTCAACATAGGAGGTAGAGGTTGCAGTGAGCCAAGATCACACCACTGCACTTCAGCCTAGGCACTAGAGCAAGACCCCGTCTAAAAAAAAAAAAAAAATTAAAAATTAAACAAAATTAGCAGGGCATTGTGGCATGTGCCTGTAGTCCCAGCTATTCAGAAGACTGAGGTGTCTCTTAAAACAAAAACCTGTAAAGCTGTATTCCCGTATACACTACCAGCAGGCAAGCCAAATGTGGACCACGCAATCTTATAGTTGGCTGGTATGTTTGTGGCCAGCCCTATCAACCCAAGGCAAGACAATAGAGAAGCTTTTATTTGACTCTCAGGGTCAAGGCTGGAAAGAGACTGATAAGAAGACTCAGGCAGGGACAGACAGCAGTGCGTCTTTATCATTCTCTAAAATTTTAACCTGCTTGTTTTCAGAACTATTGCAGAGAGGAACCACAACCATCACAAACCTGGAGGGCTGGGTGGGCCACCCTCTGGATCCCATTGGCTGCCTGTTTCTCACTTTGACTGAGGCCTGCCGCCTGAATGATGATGGCTATCTGGAGATGTCAGGTACAGGGGGCAGCCTGAGGCAAGCCAAGACTGCCCTTGTTGGCTAGAATGGTGGCTCACACCTGTAATCCTAGTATTTTGGGAGGCCAAGGTGGGTGGATTACTTGAGTTCAGGAATTCAAGACCAGCCTGAGCAACATGGCAAAACCCTGTCTCTACAAAATATTAGCTGGGCATAGTGGCACTCGCCTGTAGTCCCAGCTACTTGGGGAGCTGAGGCAGTAGGATCACTTGAGCCCAGAAGATCGAGGCTGCAGTGAGTCAAGATCGTGCCACTGCACTGCAATCTGGGTAACAAAGTGAGACCCTGTTTCATTTAAAAAAAAAAAAAAAAAAAGACTGCCCTTGTCAGTCCATTCCTCCCTTCCAGACTCTGTTCTACCTCCTTTTGAAGTTTTCTTTCCCCATCTTGTCCAAACTAGAGCACCCTGAGAGGTTTCTTCATACTTGCCCATTTCCCACCTTCCTTTCTATCCTGTGGTCTGGCCTTGTCCTGATTTCACATTTTGCCTTGCCAGCCTTCCTTGCTCCTTTCATTTCCTTATCATAAATGCCTGAAGAATGTAGTCCAGGAAGAATAACAAGAGATAGAGAAATTTCAGCAGTCAGAGGCAAGAACCTAGAGCTGTCTAAAAGTGAGAAAGAACTTCCCATCAAGAATGTGTGGGGCCGGGCACGGTGGCTCAGCCTGTAATCCCAGCACTTTGGGAGGCCGAGGCAGGTGGATCACGAGGTCAAGAGATCGAGACCATCCCGGTCAACATGGTGAAACCCCGTGTCTTCTAAAAAATACAAAAAATTAGCTGGGCATGGTGGTGTGTGCCTGTAATCCCAGCTACTCAGGAGGCTGAGGCAGGAGAATTGCCTGAACCCAGGAGGCGGAGGTTGCGGTGAGCCGAGATCGCGCCATTGCACTCCAGCCTGGGTAACAAGAGCGAAACTCCGTCTCAAAACAAAACAAAACAAAACAAAACAAAACAAAACAAAACAAAACAAAACAAAAGAACGTGTGTATCCCTTGCAATTGCATAATGATATTTTCTGGTTTCCTTTGAACTTCCTTCCACATGATGGTTTTGTACCAATTTTACAAATAATAAATAGAGGGTAATAATTTCATAGTCTCAAGACTCTATTAGAGTAGCCAAAAATAGATAAGAGACAAAATTGATTCTTTTTTCTTTTATGCCTTCACTTACTATATACATATATCTACTTTAGTATTTAGCATACTACATTACAATTTATTTACAAATAGGTCTCTCTTACTAGACTGTCAGCTACTTGAAAGCAGAAATTATGACTTCTTTATCTTTGTGTTCCTAGCACTTAGTGCAGGACCTGACATTTAATAATCTTGCATAAATACTCGATGGATGATGAAGAAAAGAAAAGAACCCAAGACTCTGACTTTTAAACCGTGCTCACTTCCTGAAATTGTGCACCCAGTGTTGGAGCATATGAGATAATATAACATAACGGTTGCAGATGTTACAAAAGTAAGAGTTTAACTGTGTGGATTCAGATTTCTGTGCACAGAGGTATAAGGGATGGCCCTAAGCCATCCTTATCTTCCCTCTGATCCCTTGCAAAGGGAATCATCATCTTTGGTTTGTTTCATCTGTACAGTGACATTTACATCTTGGAAACCTGAGTTTATACTTGAGTTTATTCATTTACCACTACCACATAGCAATACCTAGAACAACAAGATGGTCTAATCCCTTTAAGGTGCTCACATTCTGTGAAAGAGACAGACATAAAAGTAGACAATTGTGGCATTACATAATGTGCTAGCAAAAGATAAGATTTTATACTTCCCTAACTGGTTTAGCCAGTTTATATATTAAGAAGGAGGTGGGCTGGGCATGGTGGCTCAGGCCTGTAATCCCAGCACTTTGGGAGGCCAAGGCAGGCACATCACCTGAGCTCAGGAGTTAGAGACCAGCCTGGCCAACATGGTGAAACCCCATTTCTACTAAAAATAAAAAAATTAGCTGGATGTGGTGGTGCGTGCCTGTAATCCCAGCTACCCAGGAGGCTGAGGCAGGAGAATTGCTTAAACCCGGAAGGCAGAGGTTGCAGTGAGCCAAGATTGTGCCACTGCACTCCAACCTGGGAGACAAAGGGAGACTCCATCTCAAAAGGAGGTGGAGCTGGACATGGTGGCTTATGCCTATAATCTTAGCATTTTGGGAGGCCAAGGTGGGAGAATCACTTGAGCCCAGGAGTTCGAGACCAGCCTGGGCAGCATAATGAGACCCTATCTCTACAAAAAAAATTAAAAAATTATTTGGGCATGGTGGCATGTGCCTGTAGTCCCAGCTACTCAGGAGGCTGGGGAAGGAGGGTCGCTTGAGCCCAAGAGGTTGAGGCTGCATCAGTGAGCCATGATTGTACCACCACACTCCAGCCTAGGCAACAGAGCAAGACTCTGTCTCCAAAAAAATAAAAAAAGAAAGAAGTATAAATCTTTGTGGCTCTGTGTAACCTTTTTTTCAGTATATTTTCCTTACTATTCTGGGGTTCTGATTCAGCTTCCCTGTGATAACTGTTGACCAAGCTATACCCCAAAGGTGGGAGGGAAAGACAGAAGACTAGGCAGGGCACAGTGGCTCACACCTGTAATCCCAGCACTTTGGGAGGCCGAAGTGGGAAGATCACCTGAGGTGAGGAGTTAGAGTCCAGCCCGGCCAACATGGTGAAACCTCACCTCTACTAAAAATACAAAAATTAGGCAGGTATGGTGACACGCACCTGTAATCCCAGCTACTTAGGAGGCTGAAGCAGGAGACTTGCTTGAACCCGGGAGGCAGAGGCTGCAGTTAGCCAAGATCATGCCACTGCACTCCAGCCTGGAAGACAGAGCAAGACTCTGTCTCAAAAAAAAAAAAAAAAAAAAAGAGGGAAGACTCTACCAAGCCTGACCTAAAGAATTTGGTGCCCTGTTGCCCCCAGATGTGAATGAAAGCAGACCCCCTGTGTACCAGCATGTACCTGTGGCTACAGGCTCCCCAAACAGCAGTGAGTCCTACCTGTCATTGGCCCTGGAAGTTGCATTGATGGGACTGGGTCAACAGAGGGTAATGCCTGAAGGCCTCTATGCACAGGACAAGGTGTGCCGTAATGAGGAGCAGCTTCTGAGCCAACTTCAAGAGCTACAGCTGGACGATGAGCTAGTGCAAACATTGCAAAAACAGTGCATCTTACTGCTGGAAGGTAAGTAGAAGAGTTTCTTGTTAGTGTCTTTGGCCTGTGACCCTGAGCTCCCTTCTCCAAAATAGTATAAATACAGGAACATTTATAACATTAAAATGTAATGAAGTTTCCCATGGTTAGTAAATGTGCATGAGATCTTGAGGCTAAGTCCAGGCTGGCAGATGGAAGCATACAGATAAATAACTGGCTGGCTTATCTTTCTCCAGGGGGCCCTTTCAGCGGTCTGGGAGAAGTCATCCACCGAGAGAGTGTTCCCATGCATACCTTTGCCAAGTATTTGTTCTCAGCTCTGCTGCCTCATGACCCAGACCTGTCCTATAAATTAGCCTTACGTGCCATGAGGTGGGTAGCCCTTTCCCAGTCCAGTTGCCTCCCCCAAAGCAGAAGGATCCAATGCTCTTTTTCTTTGCTTATTTCACTTTCTTCCCTTTCCCTCTTTGTCATTCTGTTGGACCTGCTACCAAGGGTACTTTTAAGTGGCTCAGATATCTTTATGTGATCTAGGATTCATATCTGGATTCCTTGTTGGTGACTTGGTTCCCTGGCAGTACTCATGGTTGATTGTCTGAGTAAGCTTCTGAGATGTTAATAAATAAAGAGCACTTAAGACCTGAATCTTCCTGTTCAGTGGTCAGTCTGGCAAGCTGAGAAGGGGTCTGAGCCCCTTCAGCTGAATCAAGGTTCCCAGGCACAGGTCCCCAGAAGAAGCTGGGGGAAGTAGAGATAAATATATTTACCCCAAGACTTGAGAGCAGGAGCTATTGGCATTTTGTTTCCAAGCTAATATAGGATCCTTGGTTTAGGCAGTTAAACCTCTGAGATATGGCAGACTATACAGAGGAAGAATTTTAGTCAGACTCTAAGACTGGGAGAATACCTTAGCTAAAACAAGGAATTCTTTGGCATGTATTTCTTATACTTTTAGAAATAACCAGGCTGGGTGCAGTGGCTCATGCCTGTCATCCTAGCACTTTCGGAGGCCAAGGTGGGTAGACTACTTGAGACCAGGAATTTGAGACCAGTCTGGGCACCATGGTGAAACCCCATCTCTACAAAAACAAAAACTACAAAAATTAGCCAGGCATGGTAATGCAAACCTGAAGTCCCAACTGCTCAAGAGGCTAAGGTGGGAGGATTGCTTGAGCCCAGGAAGTCAGGGCTGCAGTGAGCTGTGATTGTGCTACTACACTCCAGCCCGTGTGACAGAGAGAGACTCTGTCTCAAAAATAAATAAAATAACCCTATGATTCTTTTTTAAAATTTATTAACTTTTCTCTCTTTTTATAATATATACTACTCATTGTGATAGCTGTTGAACTGCCTTTCAAATCCATTTGTAGTGGAGTCTGTTCAGCTTGAGTTCTCTTAAATACCCAGGCACTCACCTCATACAGTGTATGGTACCATAGGTTTAAAACCTTCAAAGCTCTTAGCTAATCCTCTCGTTTTCCCAGTTCCTCCCCAGCAAGGAGTAAGCTTCTCTAAGGTGGCTCAGAAGCCCAGGGTCTGGATGGTGGCTGATGATTCTTCCTGGGTCTTCCAGGTTACCTGTTTTAGAAAACTCAGCTTCTGCAGGCGACACATCCCACCCTCACCATATGGTGTCTGTGGTGCCCAGCCGTTATCCTCGCTGGTTCACGCTTGGACACTTGGAATCACAGCAGTGTGAACTGGCCTCCACCATGCTGACTGCTGCCAAAGGTGAGCATAGATAGACCTTAAATTTCAGCATCACCCCTCTGCCTGCCCAACCATGGCCTGCCAAAGGCTTGGCCTGGACTCTCCTGAGGAAGAGAAGCTCCTTGACCATTTAGAGTGATAGTGATCCTCACTTTGATTGCTGCCATTAGAGCACCTGGATCCATGCCAAAACTTTACCCTAGTTACTAATTGCAGGATCCTGAATATGCAAAATTAAATGATCTTTAAGTTATTTCTAAATTTAACCTTCTGTTTGATAAAGTCACTTCACCTTTCATGCCTCAGTTTCAAATCTGTAAAATGGGGATCATTGTCAATGACCTGTCAGCCTCCCAGGGCCACTGAAAGATCTAATGAAGTAATGACTAAGATAGAGCTCAACTCCTTACAAATACAAGAGTTTGTAATTCTTTTTCAGTGCCCTGGTAAAAGATAGGCAGTCCAAAGTGATTCTAGGCCTTTAAGCTCATGCATCCTGCAGGTTTCACCACAAAGTAAGCCCCTATGTAAGAAGGAGCTATGATAAAATACTAGCCACCATGAGCTCCTGAGTATTTTGGACCAGGAAACTACAAGGATTTTGAAGGTTTTTTAAATTAAAAATAACTTTATGTGGTATCTTCTTAATGTCTCCCCAAAAATACATGCTCATTACAGAAAAGATAAAAGTTACATATAAATCAATATAAAAATGATCAGCAAACAAATACAAAAGTAGAACAAGGAATATGACCAGACAATTCACAGAAAAGGAAATACAAATGACTTTTAGACAACTAAATTGCCTGGTATCACATTAGAAATACAAATTAAAATTACCCTGAGATAACATTTTTTACTGATCTTATTGGCAAAAATTTAAAAAATTGGATAATGAGCATTCATGTTAGGAGTGCCAAATCGGGAGTCGTGGTAGCCTGCATGGAGTGTCAGATTCCAAGCTGGATAAGGAGGAGGACTTCAGATACAAGGAACTCAATGAACCACAAGCATAATAAATATGAAGAAAACTATACCCCCAAGGCACATCATAACCAAAATGCTTAAAACCAATAATAGAAGAGAAAATCTTACTTAAAAGCAATCAGAGTAAAAAAGATGCGTTATAGACAAAGGACAGACAAAAGACAAAAACCAAGTATGAGAACAGATTTCTCATTAGAAACAATATAAGCCAGAAAACAGTGGGGGAAAAAATCCCTTAAAGTACTTAACAAAAAAATTATCAGGCCAGGCATGGTGGTTCATGTGTATAATCCCAGCACTGTGGGAGATCCAGGCAGCTGGATCACCTGAGGTCAGGAGTTCGAGACCAGCTTGGCCAACATGGCAAAACCCCATCTCTGCTAAAAATACAAAAATTAGCTGGGCATGGTAGTGCAACCTGTAGTCCCAGCTACTCAGGAGGCTAAGGCACAAGAATCACTTGAACCTGGGAGGCAGAGGTTGTGGTGAGCCAAGATTGCGCCACTGCACTCCTACCTGTGTGACAGAGTAAGACTCTGTCTCAAAAAAACTCAAAAACTGTCAAACTAGAATTTTATACCAATGAAAATATATTCCAAAAACAAAGATGAGGCAGGTATAGTGGCTCACATCTGTAATCCCAACACTTTAGGAGGCCAAGGCAGAAGGATCACTTGAGACAAGAAGTTTGAGACTAGCCTGGGCAACATAGCAAGACCCCATCTTTATAAAAATTTTAAAAATTAGCCAGTTGTACTGGCAAGCACCTGTAGTCCCAGCTACTCAGGAGGCTGAGGTGGAAGGATTGCTTGAGCCCAGGAGTTAAAGACTGCAGTAGGCTACCATCATGATACTGTACTCCAACCTGGGTGACAGAGAAGACCCTGACTCGGAGAGAGAGAGAGAGAGAGAGAGAGAGAGAGATGAACTAAAGATATTTTTCAGACAACCACAGTACAATTAGAAATCAATAATAAAAAGTTACTTAGAAAATATCTTAAGTTTTTAAAAATTAAACAACATACCTGTGTATTACTCATGGACCAAAGGAAAAACTAAATCACAAGAAAATTAGAAAATGTTTTGACTAATTGAAAATTAAAATGAAAACACAAGTCAAAATTTGTGGAATGTAGCTAAGGTTTTACTTATAAATGAAAAAGGCTTCAAATAAGTGATCTCAGATTTCATTTTAAGAAATCAGAAAAAGAATACCCAAGGTAAGCATAAGAAAGGAAATAATAAAGATCAGAGCAGACAGGTGCAGTGGCTCATGCCTGTAATCCCAGCACTTTGGGAGGCCAAGTAAGGTAGATCAGTTGAAGCCAGGAGTTTAAGATCAACCTGGCCAACATGGCAAAACTCCATCTCTAATAAAAACACCCAAAAAATTAACTGGGCATGGTGGCACAAGCCTATAATCCCAGCTACTCAGGAGGCTGAGGTATGAGACTCATCTGAACACAGGAGATGGAGGCTATGGTGAGCCAAGATCACACCACTGCACTCCAGTCTGGCCAACAGAGTAAGACTCTGTCTCTAAATAAATAAATAAGTAAATAAATAAAATTGTAAAAATCAATGAAATAGAGAATAATTAATGAAACCAAAAGCCGATTCTCTCCATCTTTAAATAAATAAATAAATAGATAGATAAATAAAATTTTAAAAATCAATGAAATAGAGAATAACCAATGAAACCAAAAGCTGATTCTCTGAAAAAATCAACTAAGGCCGGGTGTGGTGGCTCACACTTTAATCCCAGCACTTTGGGAGGCCAAGGCAGGCAGATTGCTTGAGGTCAGGAGTTCAAGACCAGGCTGGCCAACATGGTGAGACCCCATCTCAACTAAAAAATACAAAAATTAGGCTGGGTGCAGCGGCTCACACCTGTAATCCCAGCACTTTGGGAGGCCGAGACAGGCAGATCACAGGGTCAAAAGATTGAGACCATTCTGGCCAATATCATAAAACCCCATCTCTACTAAAAAATACAAAAATTAGCTGGGCATGGTAGTACATACCTATAGTCCCAGCTACCCAGCTACTCAGGAGGCTGAGGCAGGAGAATCACTTCAACTCGAGAGGTGGACATTGCAGTGAGCCGAGATGGCGCCACTGCACTCCATCCTGGCAATAGAGCCAGACTCTGTCTCAAAAAAATAAATTAGCCTCATGTGGTGGCAGGTGCCTGTAATCCCAGCTACTCAGGAGGCTGAGGCAGGGAGAATTGCTTGAACTCAGGAATCAGAAGTTGCAGTGAGCCGAGATCACACCATTGCACTCCAGCCTGGGCGACAGAGCAAGACTCTATCTCAAAGAAAAGAAAAGAAAAGATGAAATTGAAATCCCCGTCTAGACTGATCAAAAAAAAAAAAAAAAGGAGATAAAAGGCAGAAATGATCGATATCAGGAATGAGAAAGGTGACATCACTATGGATTCTAAAGACATCGAAATGGTAATAGGAGAATATTACAAACAGTTTTATGCCAGTAAATTCAATAACACAGATAAAATGGACTAACTCCTTCAAAAACAAAATTATCAAAGCTCACTTAAGAATAAATAAAGCCAGGGCCGGGCACAGTGGCTCATGCCTGTAATACCAGCACTTTGGGAGGCCAACGCAGGCGGGTCACCTGAAGTTAGGAGTTCGAGACCAACCTAACCAACATGGCAAAACCCTGTCTCTACTAAAAATGCAAAAATGAGTTAGGCACGGTGGCATGTGCCTGCAGTCCCAGCTACTCAGGAGGCTAAAGCAAGAGGATTGTTTGAACCCAGGAGTTGGAGGTTACAGTGAGCTATCATCATGCCACTGCCTGGGTGAGAAAGTGAGACCCTGTCTCTAAAAAATAGCCAGGTGCGGTGGCTCAAGCCTGTAATCCCAGCACTTTGGGAGGCTGAGGCGGGTGGATCACGAGGTCAAGAGATCGAGACCATCCTGGTCAACATGGTGAAACCCCGTCTCTACTAAAAGTGCAAAAAATTAGCTGGGCATGGTGGCATGTGTCTGTAATCCCAGCTACTCCGGAGGCTGAGGCAGGAGAATTGCCTGAACCCAGGAGGCGGAGGTTGCGGTGAGCCGAGATCGCGCCATTGCACTCCAGCCTGGGTAACAAGAGCGAAACTCCGTCTCAAAAATAAATAAATAAATAAATAATAAATAAATAAGTAAATGGCCGGGCGCGGTGGCTCACGCCTGTAATCCCAGCACTTTGGGTGGCCGAGGCGGGTGGATCACAAGGTCAAGAGATCGAGACCATCCTGGTCAACATGGTGAAACCCCGTCTCTACTAAAAATAGAAAAAAAAAAAAAAAATTAGCTGGGCATAGTGGTGCGTGCCTGTAATCCCAGCTACTCAGGAGGCTGAGTCAGGAGAATTGCCTGAACCCAGGAGGCGGAGGTTGCAGTGAGCCGAGATCGTGCCATTGCACTCCAGCCTGGGGTAACAAGAGCGAAACTCTGTCTCAAAAAAAAAAAAAAAAAAAATTGTGTTGACAAAGGTGTGGAGAAACCTTTTTAAAACTCAACTATATGGTGTCTATAAGAAACCCACTTTAACTATAAAGACACAGATAGATTAAATGTAGATATGGAGGCCAGGCACAGTGGGTCATGCCTGTAATCCCAGCACTTTGGGAGGCCAAGAATGGTGAATCACCTGAGGTTGGGAGTTCGAGACCAGCCTGACCAATGTGGAGAAACCAGGTCTCTACTAAAAATACAAAATTAGCCAAGCATGTTGGTTCACACCTATAATCCCAGATACTCGAGAGCCTGAGGCAGGAGAATCACTTGAACCCAGGAAGCAGAGGTTGTGGTGAGCTGAGATCACGCCATTGCACTCTGTCTCAAAAAAAAAAAAAAGATGGAATCAATAACCTAAATATATAAACACTAAAGCCATAAAATTCTTAAAAGAAAACATAGGAGCCGGGCGTGGTGGCTCAAGCCTGTAATCCCAGCACTTTGGGAGGCCGAGGCGGGTGGATCACGAGGTCAAGAGATCGAGACCATCCTGGTCAACAT